ATATATATATATATATATATATATATATATATATATATATATATATACATACATGTACACTCACACACACACATATATACATATACACACACACACACACACACACTAGGGATGCACAATACACTTTTTTTTTTTTTACTTCTGATCCCGATACCTAAATCTGTATCGGTCGATATCGATCCGATATCATCATCATCATCATCATCATCATCGATTTTCTATGAGACTGTAATAATCTCCTCTCAAGTACAATTTGTACAAATCTATGCATGCATGTCCAAAAAGGCAACTTGAGGTAAGTTTTATTAATGTTGGATAAGTTTTAAAGTTAGAATTAAATTCAGCTAACACAAAATATGTTATTTTTATTCCTAGCTTTAAAGTGGATATTAAGGTGATTAATTTAAGTGATTTAAAAAAAAAAAATTAAATAAGGGGGAGATAAGAATTTTTTTCTTCTTTCTGCACTCTTTTCATTCAATGTTTTATTTTTGATGAATTTTATTTGTTTCTTTTAAATGAATGAATAAATTAATAAAATAAAATAAAATGTTAAATGGCTTTAAACATCTGCTAGTTCATGGCATAAACCAACAGACATGTTCCTGTTTTTAGTATTTTACATCACTTTATAATGTAGCTGTTTATGTTTCGTTTTAATATAATTTTCCATTCATATGCTCTTTTATGATTGTCTACTGTTGTTGTAAAGTACTGATAAATATCTCCTGGAGGGTAAACTATATCTTGGCTGCAAGTATTAAGCTGTGAAATCCTTCGTTTTCTACAACTGATAGTGGTTGGTCATTAATTACGATGAAGCAACTTCTCAGTAAACATTCGAGCTTCGGGGCTTCAGCTGTGTCTTCTTCTTCTTGTTCAATCCGAAGCAGGCAGTCTGATTTCGGTCAGCTGTGCTCAGTCTGCCCCTCCTCAGAGACGGGCAGACTGAGCGGGGCAGATTGGGCGCGGCTGGCCGGGGTCGGGCTGCCTGCTGCGGATTGAGCAAGAGGAGCAGACCGCTGAAGCCACGGAGCTCGAATGTGCAACGTAAACTAACATTACCACTGTTTAATGTGGTGCTATGGCTCTGCAGACATTGCACGTTGCTGTCTTGCTTTGTGGCGTTTCTTAGTGATGTGTCCTTCTGTGTTGAGGCTTCGAAGCGTGTGTCGAGTAATCCAGGAGGATTTATGTGGAGCGTGTATCGAGGCGTGTATTAATGACGCATGTAGTGACGTTTGAGGCTTTGCTATCGGGCCGTACCACGTGACCGATTCAGGAACTGGCTCGTTTGTACACGCGAGATTCGAAATATGAGGTTCAGACAGAAAAATCCATCATCACCATCATCATGAAGACAGATTAAGATAATTTGCCAATCAAATTTAGACTTTATTTGAGGTCCTCACAAACATGATTTATTTTTCTTTTGTTCAACTTAAAGATTCACAAACCAGTTACGTTATGTAGTGAACTAGGCCTCCGATCAAACCTGCCTCTGAAGACCTTCATGGGACAGGAACTGTTATTTCATTGATTTGAATCCAGAAATACAAATTAACTCATCCAGAGACTGTCTAATTGTATCCTGAACTAATCAATTGAAAAAACACTATCTTTTTTATATTATCATTACTATTTTACAATGTCTTGATAATCAAAAGTGTGTTTAGTTCATACCATTTTTAAATGTTGAAGTGAACCACTCATTTTAAATCAACTGTGAAACAGTATTAATGATTTTTAATCCTCATTCAAATTAGAAATCAAGTTAAAAGTCTATTTTACAAAGTAATTATGCATTTTTGATCTTCTGTCTGAAATGAGAAGAGTGATGTCGGTCAAAAGTCGGAGACAGTCAAGAAACAAGTTATTGGAACGAGCTGTCGTGTTTTTAAACCTCTCAGACAGTAAATTAGAAAACTGGCACCTGTAAGTCTGTCATTTCTCCAAAATATTTTCTCGTCTGTAACTAACCGTTCTCAAAACATTCCGGCTGTTTTCTGACTTGTAATGACCCTCTGACGTCACTAAAACCACACCCCTGTTGGTTCCTTCAACCAATCAGGACTTCCTAAAAGTGACCGGAAGCAGAACTCTTTAAAAGTCGACACTTCCTAGTTCCATTAGTTCCGTAGAGTTCCGTAAGTTCTTCTGGTTCTGATGGAGTTCGGCTGGAGTTTGTCTGAAGTTCTTCTGAGTCTCTTGGAGTACTGTGGAGTAGTTCTGGAGTTTTTCCACTGCTGAGTGGAACTTCGGACTCAGTTTTCCAGGCTGATGGAGTCATCCATCTCTGCAGGAGCCACGACGCCTCGCTGTGGCTCCACCCGGTGAATGCCCTATAACTGCTGAGGAAGTTTGTTCTGTGGAACGGAGTATCTCATGACTTCTGCCGAGTCGCAGCCGCCCTGAGGAGACTCTGAAAGGTAGCGTGCCAGGGACCTCTTGACCGCAGCTGACCCATTCTCCGCCAAGGTAAAGAGTCGTCACTGGTTTCACTGCAAGTGTACCACGGCGAGCTGCGTTTGAAAGGAGCGTGTTGTTCTGGTCTACAGACATACATCTTCCTCCACATTTTCTCTACATTTAAACTCCTTCATTTCCCATCTTTAAACTTCTATCTTGCCAGTAATTAATCCAGATGCCTTCAGAAATGTCTGTTGTTTTTATTAAGTAAAACGTGCCAAGTTTTATTAATCAGAACCAGATCAGTCTAATCAAGTGTACAATGTTTTGATGTTAAATTTTGATTCTGTTAATAAATGACCACATTTATTTTGATGGGTCAAAGAAAATTAACGTCTCATGTCACTGATTAAACCATCGACAACACAGTACCTCTGTCACATATCTGTCAAGTAGCTTGAAAAAGAGAGAACCAGTTATTAAAATATGACTGTAGTGGAGCTCGAAGCTAACCTAGCCTTTTAGCATACTACAGTTATTATAATCCATCTAATGGTTTTACATTTATAGTCCACTTGATGGCGTAGTAGAGCAAATGAAGCACCATCGAGCTATTTGATGGAAAGCCTTAGTGCTTCATGAAGCTTCATCTCACCATCACTAGTGTTTCTAGTGTAAAATACTTCCACACAGCGGACATGTTTAGATGAAAAGTTGGTTTGCCTGTTTGAGGTCGTTAGCTGCATAAAGACACCTGTCCACCCCACACAATCAGTAAGACTCCAACTACTAACATGGCTAAGATTAAAGGGCTGTCCAAAGACACCAGAGACAAAATTGTAGACCTCCACAAGGCTGGAAAGGGCTACGGGGCAATTGCCAAGCAGCTTGGTGAAAAAAGATCAACAGTTGGAGCAATTATTAGAAAATGGAAGAAGCTAAACATGACTGTCATTCTCCCTCGGACTTGGGCTCCATGCAAGATCTCACCTCGTGGCGTATCAATGATCCTAAGAAAGATGAGGAATCAGCCCAGAACTACACGAAGGAGCTGGTCAATGACCTGAAGAGAGCTGGCACCACTGTTTCCAAGGTTACTGTGGGTATTACACTAAGACGTCATAGTTTAAAATCATGCATGGCACGGAAGGTTCCCCTGCTTAAATCAGCACACGTCCAGGCCCATTTTAAGTTTGACCATGACCATTTGGATGATCCAAAGGAGTCATGGGAGAAAGTTATGTGCTCAGATGAGACAAAATAGAACTTTTTGGTCTTAATTCTACCCGCCTCAGTTACAGCATTGAAGATGGGTCATGGCTGGGTCTTCCAACATGACAATGACCCGAAGCACACAGTCAGAATAACAAAGGAGTGGCTCCGTAAGAAGCATATCAAAGTTCTGGAGTGGCCTAGCCAGTCTCCAGACCTAAACCCTATAGAAAATCATTGGAGGGAGCTCAAACTACGCGTTTTTCAGTGACAGCCCAGAAACCTGGCTGATCTAGAGAAGATCTCTGTGGAGGAATGGGCCAAAATCTCTGCTGCATGTGTGTGCAAACCTGGTGAACAACTACAGGAAACGTTTGACCTCTGTAATTGCAAACAAAGGCTACTGTATCAAATATTAACATTGATTTTCACAGGTGTTCAAATACTTATATGCTGCAGTAACACACAAATGAATTATTTAAAAAAATTATACATTGTGATTTCCGGATGTTTATTAGATTATGTCTCTCACAGTGGACATGCACCTAAGATGAAAATTTCAGACCCCTCCATGATTTCTAAGTGGGAGAACTTGCAAAGTCGCAGGGTGTTCAAATACTTATTTTACCGACCGACCGACCGACCGTCCGTCCGTCCTTCCGACCATTTGTCCGTCCGTCAGTCAGTCACTGGCAACTTTGTTCATAACTTTCCAGGATTAAATTCTAACTTTGAAACTTATCCAACAGCAGGTGCTAAATAATTTAAAATAATTTATTTTAAATAAAAATTCTATGCCGATCGTGCAGCTCATCTATCGAGCAGCCAATTGTGTGTCATGTCCAATCTTATTTTGAAAAACAGCGATAATGAACAGCAAAGTAGCGAGGGACTACTGTATGTGCATTTTACAAATTATTCGTGGGAGATAATTTCATACTGCTAAAGTAAATCTGCTTGTTTGTGTATAAAACACTGTTTAAGTGTCATTTAATGGTAAATCATCTTGTTCCAAGATAATATATCAATAAAGCTATATTGCTTACTTGAAAATTATTATGATTGAAATAATTGTTTGAAAAAAGGGGCAGATATAAGATTTTATTTTCTTTCTGCTGCCTTTCATTTTAAATCTTTTGTATCTTTTTATATTGTTATGGAATTGTTTTGTACTTTTTTAAAATGAATAAACTTTATACCATACCATACCATATTGCTACATTACATGGCATCTTATGTCATAAGCTCTCAAAAATTGGTTTCTCAGACCACACCATTTGTTGGTTCTCTATCTCTCAGATCGGAGGCAATGTAATGGTACTTCTTCCAGTTATCTAACTGTTAACAATGATGTACCACAGGGCTCAGTCTTAGGACCCACCCGCTTCACAATCTACATAGTTAATGTAGGTCAGATCATCCCTGATGCATCCATGCATTTCTATGCTGATGATAGTTGTTTAATGTCGAGCTAAAACAGTTGCTAAGATTTTCCATCTTTTGCAATCAGCTTTCTAGAATTGGGCCGCTCAAGGTGGCTGTATGTTGGAGCAGCTCGGTTACTTTCATTCTGAGATTTTGCTTTTGGAAACTTTAATTCCTGTTTTTCTGGATGTAAATCACATTTTTTGGATGATTGTTTCCTCTGGTATCGGATGCTGTGCAGCTGGAAGGATTTTTACTGAAACTTTTTGTAGTTTTGGACATTTGTTATGATGCGTAACCATGGCAACAAGGCAGTTTTCTACAACCAACAGCAGCTGATTAACATCTTAAAAGCTCAAGTAATATCTCAACTACAGCCCCAAATCTCAAATGAGTTGAAAGGATGTTCTGTGGACGCATTCTCATCTACCTGCCAGCTGTGTTCGAGTGCCTGACCACTTAGATCCTGGAACTAGCAGGAAACATGGCTCATGACAGTGGAAGGACAGGATCGTCCCTCGGCACCTACAGTTGACTGTCCGCAGCGACGAGGAGCTCGACAGGCTGCTGGGAGGAGTGGCCATTGCTCTGGGAGGAGTTCTGCCCGGCATTTGGGCGGTCCTACAGCACGAGGGAACCGAGAGGCCAGCCGAGTCTGGGTGGACGGATCAGACGGCATCTGCAGCCAGTTTCTTAGGATCCACTGTGGGATGGACCTTACAAGAGATCCTTCCTGCCTACAGCCATCAGTATCTATAACATCTCTTAATGAAATGAGGATAACGAGTTACAACAACAAATAATTTCCCTTTGGGATTAATAAAGTAATTTTGAATTGAATTGATATCATCCAGTCAGATTTGTTCCATCTCAAACTTGTACTAAATGCCGACAAAACCAAAGGGATGTTGTTTTCAAATAAGAAGAAGTCGGTCCCAGTAGTTCTAAACCTCGTTTTTATCTTAGAATGGTGCTCCATTTGGGTTTGTCGATTCCTACAAATACTTGGATATCTTGGTTGATTCACATCTCTCTTTTAAGCCCCACATCGAAAATTTCGTAAAGAAACAAAGTTAAACTGGGTTTCTTTTTCAGCAATGAATCCTGTCTAACTCTGAACACTAGGAAACACCTTGTAACTGCAACTTTCCTTCCCGCCATACGGTGACAGTATTTGCATGAATGCCCCTACAAGCACCTTGTAGATGTTGTACGCTGTCTATCATGGTGCGTTAAGATTCATAACTGGCCATACCCATCACTGCACCCTGTATTCACTGGTTAACTGTTCGTCATTAACTTCACAGATTCTCACACTGGTACATTTTCATCTTTAAACCACTTATTGGTCTGTTGCCTTATATATGGTATCTCCTCCTATATGTCACTTTTTGAATGCAGCTACAGCGTGCGCTCTCAGGATGTTATTACATGCAGTGTACCCTCAGTGCGGACTGAACTAGGCAAAAGGGCCTCCTCCGACTCTGCTCCTGTATCCTGGAAAATCTTGCAAAAAGATCTGAAGCTCTCAACCTTGACCTCTCTAAGTAGCTTCAAACATCTGCTAAGTTCCTGGCAAAAAGCAATGCAGACATGTTCCTGTTTTTAGTGTTTTACATCGCTTAACATTGTAGCTGTTTTTGTTTACTATCATTTTCTTCCATTTATTTTTTTCAATGCTTTCTTTTATGATCGTCTACTGTTGTCATCATTCTTTGCTTAAAAAACAAACAAACAAAAAAACAGGTCTCTCATAAATGAGTCCTTGAGACTCAATGAGACTAACTTGTATAAATAGTTTGAATAAATGTTTGCCATGCGGTGGATGGGCGTGGTTTTGAATCACGTGGTGTCGGTAGTGCTCACCTGTTTGCTGACCTGGTGAGTTTGTTATAGAGTGGGTGATGGGGCAGTCTACATTTTTGCTGACCGCTTTGCGCTTTAAACTTTGCTTTTGATCATTGCTGGAACCTATGGATCCTTTTTTTTTAATGCTGCTCTGGGACATGAGTGTCTATGATTCACGGATGTCTTGCCTTGGAATGTGAAGAACTTGACGCCAATAAAAGAATCTCAACAGCAGCTTGGATTTATGTCTTAAACGGCGGGCGCGTCAACAATAATTTCCCCTCAGCTGCTCGGCGACTCAGTTTGTTTGACAGTCGCCAATATGCAATTAGTTTGCAGCTAGCCGCTAACTCATGGTCCCAAGTGACACTGACAGCTTGTTTAGAAGCTTCATTAATTTTTCTAACTCCTCTGGTGTGAACGGCCATATACTAAACTCACCTCTTGCAAGCTCCAAGTGTCCCCGCCTGGGTGAAAATTGTTCACCAACAGCTAGTATGTAACTAGACCGTTACAATGCTAACAAGCTGGTAAGCTTTCAGTTTAGCTACAATGCTAATTCAATAGTTTATCCCGTTTGACAGTCCCTAGCTATGTATATATAAGACATTTGAAATTATATTAACCACTTTATGTTATAGGGATCATTCTGAAAATGACTGACTTTTGACATAAGAGCGACACTCACAGACAGCACACTGATGCGGAGAGGGGCCTCCAACAAGCACGCCATCTCTCTTCCACCGAACGAGCGCCCAGTAGGCGCAACACCTCGCGAACACTCTGCCCTCCAGAGCAGCTGCGAGCAGCCTCTAGAAAGTAGCTGTAGCGTGTGCACAAAGCTCTCCGAGCCTTTCTTTTCTATATAACGCACAGTTGTAGTCCTCTTTTGGCTCAGCTGTGACCGCCAGCACTAAAGATGGAACACAAAACTGTTCAATCTGCCTGATAGGTAAATGTTGTTTAAAAGTGTGACGTCTGTGTCGGCTATTACGCAAGATTCGACACTTTTTGTTTCTCTGTTGTCTATAAAAACAAGAATTAATATACAAACAGTAAATAGGTTAGTATATAGTTGATATTGATTATAATACTTAACAACATAAAATTTTCACAATAATAATGCTCACAAATTTATAATGGAAAGTGCTGCCGAGGACAAAATCATGCAAGAGAACTCATTGCGCATGCGTTTGTGTAGTAACGTAAGTACGTAACCTGAATATTTGTTCCGCGGTTTTAAGCTGCTGATTTGAGTTTTGAGCTGAAATTTTTAACTTTATGAATTATAAACTAGGGCATATAAACCTTTCAGTTAATCACTGATTCGCGTAAGTAACAAGTTTTATCTTTTCCTCTTGTTTGGTCGTTTTGTCTATAGTCTTAACCACGTTGTCTCTTGCTAGCTGTTCCTTCAAGTGCTACAATTTTATTGTTCATGGTTTTTAAACCAGGCAGCACGGTGGCGCAACTGGTAGAGCTGCTGCCTCTCAGCGAGCAGGTCCGTGGTTCAAACCCCGGTCCGGGGGCCTTTCTGGGTGGAGTTTGCATGTTCTCTCCGTGCATGCGTGGGTTTTCTCCGGGTGCTCCGGTTTCCTCCCACAGTCCAAAAACATGCGTGTTAGACTGATTGGTAACTCTAAATTGTCCCTAGGTGTGAATGAGAGAGTGAATGGTTGTTTGTCTCTATGTGGCCCTGTGATGGACTTGCGACCCGTCCAGGGTGTACCCCGCCCCTAGCACAGTGATTGCTGGACATGGGCACCAGCGACCCTCGTGACCCAAAATGGAATAAGCGGGTAAAGATAATGGATGGACGGATGGATGGTTTTTAAACCATAAATATAAAACCGCGCATCTACGCCACTGGGTCAATTTATTTGTAGTAAAAATATTTAATATTTAAAAGAAAGGAGAAATGTTTAATTTGTATATTGTGAAAAACATTTTTTGTTCTTTTTTTTTTTTGGAGGGGTGTTTTGAAAACATCAAAATATGACCCGTAACTGATTACATGATTTGATCAATTAATAAGATTGAATACTAGGAGGGCACTGTGATAGCTCGGTGGTCAATTCCGTTGTCTTGTAATCCTGAGGTTAAGGGTTCGAGCCCAGGTTGCGTCAGTAAGGGCATCTTTACACTACACTCTGTGTCTCATTTACCCATTCATACAGCACTCTACTAGATCTATACAAAGAATAATCTGTAAGGGTGCACTGATTGCAGTTTTCTGGCCGATCACCGATTTCTAAAAGTCTGACCTGCCGATTCCGATTTTGGCTGATACCGATTTAGTTTTATAAGCAACACTGTCAGGTGTTATAAGGTCACAATGCACCTTCAATTTTCCAATATTATTTTATTGAAAAAACATACCCTAGAACAATATCCTAGAACAATGCAAACTTGTTTTAACTGTCAATGAGGTAGTGCTCTGAAATATAAATGAAGTTCAGACAATTTTTAAAAAATTTAAAAAATCTGTAAAATTGGTTTCTCATGCAAGTATAGTCTGATTTCCGATTTCCCAAAATTAAGGAAATTAGGGCCGATTTATTGGTGCACTTCTAATAATCAGTGCATTATCACATTCATACACCAACGGGACACACATCACAGGCAATGAGAGGTTCAGTGTCTTGCCCAGGGACACTTCGGCATGTGACTGCTGGTGGAATCAAACCCCCAGCTCTTGCATTGGAGGTCGACTGCTCTAACCACTCAGCCACAGGCAGCAGCTGAAATAAATTTACTTAATAAGAATGAATACTGAGTGAGCCAAGCTTTTGCTCCGTTATGATGATTATGTTGTAGTAAGATGAAGTACGCTTCCACTGCCTTGTGACTAGTTGACAAATGGTATTCATGAGGGTCTTTAGGATGCCTTGCAACATTCAGTGCGGTTCTCAGTTTACTCACATGAATCGCAGAATGTCGCATGAATTTCTCTTAAAATTTGAAGTTAGGGCAGAGCAATGGGTCAGTTGGTAGAGCTGTTGCCTCTCAGCTAGAAGGTTGCTGGTTCAAATCTCAGCCTGGGACCCCTCTGGGTGGAGTTTGCATGTTCTCTCCGCGCATGCGTTGGTTTTCTCTGGGTACTCCGGTTTCCTCCCACAGACCAAAAACATGCATGTTAGTCTGATTGGTAACTCTAAAATTGTCCCTAGGTGAGAGAGTGAATGGTTGTTTGTCTCTATGTGTCTCTGTGATGGACTGGAGACCTGTCCAGGGTGTCCCCTGCCTCTCGCACAGTGATTGCTGGACATGGACACCAGTGACCCCATGACCCAAAAAGGAAAAAGCAGGGATGGATGGATTTTGAAGTTGGTCACAAAGTTGACCATATGTCTCAAACCTACCTAACTTTTGTCTCAAACCCATCTGAAGGGAGCTATAGCTGTTTTTGACACCTGCATGGAAAGTAACGTCTGACAGAAAACGTGAAGCAAATGTCCAAGTCTACAACTCACACAGATAGTAAATATTGAGTGTCTTTCGGCTGCTCTCAACCATATGGTTTGCCAAAGTGAGCAAAAGATTTATCAGTTGTTTCACACGATATCCTGACGCAACCTGGGCTTGAACCCACAACCCCAGGATTACAAGAAAACTGCCGCACCGACCACAGAGCTACCACAGCCCCTAATAATTTTAAAACTAGTCCTAATCTGCCTTTCTTCATTTTAAAAGTGAACTCTGGCAGATTAAATCATAAACACAGGTTGAGTTCGATGTGGGTGGAGGTGGACAGCAAAATCATGTGCACAGCCAAGAACGCAGTTTTACTCGTTCACACAAACGTAAGCAGTGATTTCATAAACTGGCGATTTGAAATGTACCTGCACAGCTCGCTGATCACTTCGTTTTGAACATACGAGACTTCTGCTGAAAATCTGCACATTTTCTTGGAATTTTGAGTCACCAGCTGGCCTCCAACAGTTACAGCCCAGTTAAACCTACTACCTTTTTGGAATGTGAATTTTTGGTCATCTGCAGCTCACTGGTTTGTACAGCATGAAGATTGCAGTAGAAGGCTGTTGCCATGGAGAGCTGGACAAGATCTATGAGACGATCACCTACCTGGAGAATAAGGAAGGTGTAAAAGTAGACCTGCTGCTTTGCTGTGGAGACTTTCAGGCAGTGCGAAATGAGGAAGACATGGAGTGCATGGCAGTCCCAGTCAAGTACAGGACAATGCAGACCTTTTATAAGTGGGTTCTTAATTTCTGATTTTAGGTTTAAGGAAGAAGAAAAAAAAGAAGACCTTGACTATTTCATATTGTTTGTATTGCAGATACTACTCTGGAGAAAAGACAGCTCCAGTTTTGACTATCTTTATTGGTGGGAACCATGAGGCTTCCAACCACCTGCAGGAGCTGCCTTATGGGGGCTGGGTGGCCCCTAACATTTATTATTTAGGTAGAGCCAGCAGATTAAATGTGTTTCTTCCAGCCTATCTGGCACACCACATGCCTAACTGGATCACCTGTCTTTAGGTTATGCTGGTGTTGTTCGCTACAAAGGGATTCGAATTGGTGGCTTATCTGGAATATTCAAATCACACGACTACAGAAAGGGTAGGATTGTTTATGCTTTTGCAATCATTTGAAATATTTGAAGTACACACATCATGTTTAGAAGGAAATGTGTATTTTCTAAGGTCACCATGAATTCCCTCCATACAATCCTGAAACCCTTCGAAGTGTCTACCACACAAGAAATATTGAGGTTTTCAAATTAAAGCAGGTAAACATTTAATGCACTTGTTTAAATTATCTACAATAATGTTTTTCCCTGTGTTTGTGTGTCTGTTATGAAAATATTTCTTTAACAGCTTTTTTAACATTTTTATAGAACTTGCTACAGGTAAAAGTAATTATTGAATGTATTTCTAGAACGGAGTCAACCCGATTCAAGATGGCAGCCATTTGATCTTCAAAACACAAAAAATAGCTATAACTTGGCCAGTTTTACAGAGGATCTAAAGTTTGGTGTGGAAGTAGCTGAGACTAATCCTCAATACAAAATCTGAATTTCTAATGGATTTTAAAACTTCTATTAACTATGTAAAGTCAGCTCCGTCTGTCTGTTAGCATAATATCATGAACAAATGATTGAATTTTAATGAGACTTTCAAAAAGTAATCATTCAGCGTGCATCTACAATTAACTTTTAGAGTCAATCCAATTCAAGATGGCTACCACTGGTATCGGCAGAAGCCAACGTAACATGACTGTGTCTCAGTCGGTTTTACGGCTATTGACTTAAGCTTTTATATCTGACTCAGATGCCATATGAGTCATTGTAAAAAAAAAAAAAAAAGTGTATATATTTGCATAACATAGTTTGTCCAAAATGGTTCCACCTCTGTTATTTCTCAGCGTAAGCTAGTTTCAGTCTAATACGTTGGCATAAAAGGCAGCAGTACACAGCAATACACATTACTTCAGAGAATACTACTGTAGATGTTTAATATACATTTTTGTTGTTTTGTGTCAATAAAGATTCAGATGCCACTGGACATCTTTATGAGCCACGATTGGCCTCGGGGCATCTGCTACTATGGAAATACCGAAGAATTGTTGCGAAAGAAAAGGTTTCTTCGTCAAGATGTGGAGTCAAATGCTCTTGGAAGTCCTGCTGCTGAAGAACTCCTGGCTCACCTCCAGCCCGTCTACTGGTTCTCTGCCCATCTTCATGTCAAGTTTGCTGCTGTTATGCAGCATCCGGTGAGACTGGGATTTTGTTTTGTTTTTTTCACCTACCAAGTAAAATGTATGTGATAGATTTCTGTTGAAAGAAGTCAGAATGTACATGAATTAATGAATACAAAACATGTTCACAGATTTATGACCCAGTAACTTGTTTTTCTGTAGCCTAAAGGAAACGCTGCTTCACGTGTAACTAAATTCCTGTCTCTGGATAAATGTCTGCCCTACAGAGAGTTTCTGCAGGTTAGTGGAAATGTTTTTCCTACATGTACATACGACGTCACTATTTGTGTTTTTGTTTAAGCTTTATGCAAATAAATCTATATTCATATATGCATTTCAGATTGTGGATCTTCCAGATAGACCAAGTTCATCTGAGGGTCTGGAATATGATCCAGAGTGGCTTGCTGTTCTGAAAGCCACCAACAGTTTACAGAGGACCACTCCTCAGCTTTGGAACCCCCCAGAGAATAATGGCTTGCACGAAAGGTACACAAATAATTGGAAATAAAATGACAGAGAGCGGGCAGCACGGTGGTGCCAACTAGAGCTGCTGCCTCTCAGCAAGAAGGTTGACGGATCAAATCCCTGCCGGGGGCCTTTCTGGGTGGAGTTTGCATGTTCTCTCTGTGCATGCGTGAGTTTTCTCCAGGTGCTCCGGTTTCCTCCCACAGACCAAAAACATGCATGTTGGGTAGAGCTGTCATTTCTAACCTGGCCCGACCCGAAAATTGGGGCCCGGCCAAAATAATGTGCTGGATGGACGGGCTGGGTAGGTATCAGAGTTTTGATTGCGTCAGCGGACACATGCGAGGCTGACGACCCAATTTGGATCATCAGCCGTGTGCGTCTGCTGACTGTTAATAACTATAATATTATAATATTACAATAACTATAATCTGCTGACTGTTAATAACTATAATATTACAATAACTATAATAATCTGCTGACTGTCAATAACTATAATATAATAACTATAATAATCTGCTGACTGTTAATAACTATAATATTACAATACCTATAATAATCTGCTGACTGTTTATAACTATATTATAATAACTATAATAATCTGCTGACTGTTAATAACTGTAAATTATAATAACTATAATAATCTGCTGACTGTTAACTATAATATTATAATAACTATAATAATCCGCTGACTCTTGTTAATAAACAAGAAATCTTATATCTTCCTTTCTTTGAAATATGTTTTAAATCATGTCAAACTGATTTGCTTACAAAAGCAGTAAAAGCTTAATTTAGTTTTTATTTTATTTTATTCGGGTTTGGGCCTGTAATCACAGTTAATTGGTCGGTTTTGGGTCAAGCTTGTAAAAAACAATACGGGTTTGGGCCGGCCCAGATGTTTTTAGGCCCGAATGCAACTCAATAATTTTAGTCTGATTGGTAACTCTAAATTGTCTTTAAATGTGAGTGAATGGTTGGTTGTTTGTCTCGTTTGTCTGTGTCCCTGTGATGGACTGGAGACCTGTCCAGTGTGTCCCTCGCCTCTCACACAGTGACTGCTGGACATGGGCACCAGTGACCGCTGTGACCCGAAACAGAGTATAGGTTAAAGATAATGGATGGAAACAAAGCATAGGTTAAAGACAATGGATGGAAACAGAGTATAGGTTAAAGATAATGGATGGAAACAGAGCATAGGTTAAAGACAATGGATGGAAACAAAGTATAGGTTAAAGATAATGGATGGAAACAGAGCATAGGTTAAAGACAATGGATGGAAACAAAGTATAGGTTAAAGATAATGGATGGAAACAGAGTATAGGTTAAAGATAATGGATGGAAACAGAGTATAGGTTAAAGAGGCTGGCTGGCTGCATTAAATCATTATAATTATTAGTTCTTGTTTTTGGGGGGTGGGGGCAAAATTTGAGAAAATAACTATTTTGATTTTATTTTTTTTTTTGGTGGGGGGGGGGGGTATTTTTATACACTACATTTTAGGCTAAGCTAACTGTAAAGAATTGACTAGTTTATTGTGGGGAAAATATTTGAGCTAATAAGTAAGATGATTAATTTAGGGGAGTGGTGGCGCAGAGGTTAGTAAAGGTGGGCCTGTGATCGGAAGATCGCCGGTTCAAGCCCGGGTACCGACAACATCAAAAATGTGGGTGGGGTAGATGAAGCACCCGCACCTGCCCCCACCCTCATTCGTACCACCCTGGGCCCTTGAGCAAGGCCCTTAACCCCACTATCTGCTCCTCCGGGTGTCCTAGTTAGCAGCTCTCTGCTCCACACAGAGGCTGTGGTAGCTCAGTGGTCTGTGGTTGTGTCAGGAAGGACATTCAGCGTAAAAATAACTGGCATGTCTTCGTGTGACTTAGTTCACTGTGGAGACCCCTGAAGAAGGGAGCAGCCGAAAGAAGAAGGAAAAAAAAGTAAGATGATGAGTTTAACCTCCAGTAACACTCGTAAAGTTAAAGAACCTTCCTGCTGTTAGTTATTACTGGTAGTTAGCCCACCAGCTCTGTGGAGCTAAATTAGTTTTTACTAACTTTGATAAAGTCTTAAATAAACTATGAAACCTTTATTTATTTAATTTATTTATTAATTTTTACATCTGGTGGCCAAATGAATTCAAGACACTAAGTTTGTCACATCAACAAAACATGGTGGTTACTTTTACCAAGATATTCTTTTCAATTCCCCATAACAACACAAAAACAAACTTTAGTCTACAAAAAATAAATAAAATAAATTAAACATACTTGTTTGAGGGACATTAAGACAAATAATCCCAGTTTGGTGATTATTTTATCAGCATGTCCTTTTAAAATATCACACTCAATAAACGGGGAATGTAGTTTTTTGTCTCTTGTAATATTTTGTGCTGGTGGTTAGTATTTGAATGGAAGTAAATTTTATTTGGATCAGTCTGTGTTTGTATTTTGCATTATGAGACTGAATTTTGGTCTTTCATTATTTGTAAGCCATAATCATAAAAATTACCAAAAATAAAGGCTTGAAATATTTCACTCTGTGTAAATAATCTAAATAAAATACAAAAAAGTTCAATCTGGTCCTCTGGACATTCAAAAAAAACAAAACAAAGCAAAAAAAAATATAGAAACGTTTCGTCTCTCATCCAAAAGACTTCCTCAGTCTGAGGTGCTGTTTTCAGCTCAGTCTCTTAAATAGCACCTTCTCAGAGTGGATCAACCAGTTT